GTTCACGCAGGTGCGCATCTCGCGGACTGTGGACTGGCTGTTATGTAAACGCGGCAGGATCTCTAGCGATCGGCACATTCTCGTTTTCCTCGTGTCATTCCGACCCGGTCTCTCCGCGTCTCTCATGCCGTATTTCCGTTATCGCGCGTATGCTGTAAAAGGCCATATTGAGCCACGCATGCAAACCCGGATTGCATCGCACTGATCGAGGTATAAAAATAGATACTAAAATCTGATAATCAGTTCTTTATTTTAAATTCAAAATGCGTTGCGACTTTGATCGCGATCTTTGGAAGTTAATATATTCGTGATATGAATATCGCGGGAAAGATATATGGGACTGTATCAGGTTTCTTTGATTCTGTTATAGTTATAAAACTTATGGATTATAAAAGTTAGAAAAACAATACTCCTCTATTAAAGATAGACTTCAATATTGTACCCAAGGCTTTTTTAAATCAAGTTTTAAGAATATAAAATAATAAAGAACGTACGTCTTTTTCAGTTTTAAACTTTATTTCAACAGACATTTGATTGGGATTTTATATAAAATTGAATAATTAAATTTTAACATTAAATATTTATAATGTTGGTAATTAATTAGTTTTGTTAGGCACGCAAATGACATTTAAACTATGATGTAAAAAAATGTGTCGTTATCCGTCTCAATTGACCTATCAATACTTAATTTATCGATGAGCACAAGAGATTTAAAAACTGGTAGCTCATCGTTATTTTTGGTATTTAGCAAATTTAGGAGGACCGTCATCCGGTCAGAAAGAAATATTTTTAAAACTGAGAGCTCTAATAATTAGCGATTTTCATGAATTTTTCTATTCACGATATACGGATAAACAATTTTAACGCAAATTTATCACTTAAGGACGTTTACCGGTCCTTATACTAATTACTAAAATTTGATAAAAGTTGAAACTTTGAGGCTCAGTATCTCTATTATTTTTATACCGCAAGAGGTACTGAAATTTATACCACGCATAAAGCACACCTAAATTAACGTATATTCATAGATTCAAGAAAATCTATATAGAAAATCGATTTTTTTTAGTATAAGGACCGGTGAACGTCCTTAAGAAAAAGCTGAATTATGATTCCCATGTAGTCCCATTAAAATAGTTACAAATTCTGTCACTCTACAAAAGTAACAAAAATTAATTTTTTAAATGTTAGGTGGAATTTTTTTCCAATTTGTCGGTGGTTTTATACTCTCACACAAAAGGGAGAATAATAACACAAGTTATTTATGTCATAAGACGTTATATTATATAGAATTAGCATTTACGTTGGTGACACTTTCTTCCGCTGACTTGAGTTAAATTCCTTCTCTCGTCCACGGCAGTCCTTAAAATTATTGTCATTGTACGACACGGCAGGTGGCATCCTATTTACCTGGTTTACCATAAATCTGCAACATACCTCGCAAATGCCGATCCGATAATTTCAAGGACGCGCTCTCGTGGCCGAGATACGCACAGAATGGTTTTAATACCGCAATACTTTAACATCACTGTATTTTTATTCTTTGAACGCATGCCAACCGCAATACTAACAACTGGAAGAGTGGACTTTCGTTCTTGTCTAGGGTAAGTTGCGAACAGTTTGATCAACGTGTTGTGCTGCATGCCAACGAAACGCGATGCACGTTTGACGACACGAAACATCCTTTTCTGAAATATATATTTAGTATCGAGTCCGGAAGTGCAGGGTATTCAAAGTCATTTATAAAGAATAAGAATTTTTTGTAGCGAGTATGTGTATAAATAAAGAAATTTTTATTCAGGAGCTACGACTATAAATAACGTGATGATTGATGAATACTGCCCCATGACTCTTATAACTCTTTCATAAATTGTGTAGTCTTGTTATGAGACAGACGCGAGATTGTACTTGCCGTCAAACGAGACGTCGCGTCAACTATTTGTCGTACCTTCTGTCTGAAAAAGTAGCGATAACAAATCATATGTTGTTTGATAAATAAGAAGGCGATTCCATGCCGTTACATCATGATCATGATCATGATCATGATCGTGACTGGTAGGTTTTTTTTAAATGCCGTCCTTGAAACGCATCTAATGCACGCGGATGCCACTTTGACGATCTGTTTGTTTGCGAGAAACTGTACCTCGCGTACAAAAAAGGCATGCATCGAGTTTTTCGTAATCTAATTATTCTTTGTTATTTTTGTCCGACAAATATGCAAGTAACGTTAAGCCGCGCTTGTTGCGTGCGTCAAAATTATTTATGTTTATTTCTACCAACGTAGATTAAGTAACTTTAATATCGGTTTAATTTATTTTTTATTTTTTCTTAGTTCTGAAAATTAGAAGGAGATAAAAAATAAGTTAAACCGAGATTAAAGTTAATCGGCATTGGTAAAAATGGACATTAGTCGTCACTTTTTTATTACTCATTGGTAAAGAAAAGTTATTTGAAATTTTAATTGTCATAAATTATGTAGGTTGTTTAAATACGGTTTTATAATATTAATTTTATAAAATATTAGTATTATCGGCTTGTAATCTCGTTTTATTTATTCGTGACACTAAACATGAAAACCGATATTTTCGATTAAATGCATGTGATGCACCGATAACACCCTAAGTGTAAGGGCAATATGTGATATTGGTAAATAATTGCAGGTGGTTCCGTGCGGTCTTCGAAAAATCTGCCACGTAAGATCACAAAGAGTTTTCTGATCCTTTTATATTATTTCGATGTGTTCTCAGCACCCAGACTTGAATTCCCGAATTGAGTAGATAGAGATAATACGTCATCGGTGATCTTTTTACTCTCGTCCTTGGCGTTTGATATTAGCCGAATTAATCACTAGACGATAAATTCGCAGTTCCCATTAATTCTTACTCAGATAAGAGCACTTTACTTATTCACACATTTCAGAGAGATAAGTGTCGTTTTGCTTTTATTATCTCCACGAGATGCATACATCTAAGCGTTTCAAATTTGTTTGTTTATTTGCAACGATATATTATACAATTATACAAGATATACAGCACAAAAAATAATATAAATTAGCGAAATTTATTTTAAAATTTTAATGAAGATAACATGAGAATGTCTTTTCTTTTTTGACTGCACAAAAAGACAAAATTCGATAGGACCATATTAAACATCGCTTAAACATTTGATCGAAAATTTTTACAATTTATTTAGTAGCAAAAGTTGCTTTGTCTTTTGCCATGTTTTGCCATTATAAGATATAATTTATCTCTTAACTTATCGCAGGATGATATAATTGGAATAATTGTTTGAATTATTATTTTATTATCTCTCATGTATTATAACTGTTTTATTTTTATTTTATTATCTTATGTCATGCAAGTCTCGACACAAGATAATTTAATAATCTCACGTGTGTTTTTTGAAACAATATTACTAGACGTGACGTACGCGCGAACTATGTTTTTGCTTCTCATACCTTTATGAAATAATATGAATCGCGAACGGTTTATTACATGTGTCTGGCAGTTGCTGTAAAAAAAAGGATAGGATGACGTAGCGGAATAAAGAGTCTCGCGTCACCAAATCCTTTCTGCTTAATTTGATTTTCAGTAGTACAGGTATACGTTACATAATTACGCATCGCAATGCTATTCTCGTACATTACGCTCGAGATATCGCGGAAAAATGGTGGTTAATTGTCGTTGCGATAGCTACCAGGAACGCCGCCGCGGTTCCTTATCTGTTGCAACATTTTTTTTATTTCTCGTTAATACACAGATAAGTTGCTCCGGTAAAATGCGAGGAGCACAAACTCGACGGAGCCGAGACTGTCGTCGTCGTCGTGACGCAAATTCTTTCGGCGGTACATCTGGATAAGACTCCCGCGAGAATGAATAATGAGTGACTAAGGCAAATGCATTCCTCGCGTATGAAATCGCTGCTCGAGACACTTTCGCGCTCCAATAACTTTCGCGATAGTTATCATTTTGAGTGTCTTTAACGTAACACAACAAAACGCGATTGTGTGTCGCGATGAATCGAAAACATTATCTTCGTTCTTAGACAGATTGTCAATTGCATTTATCGAGCTGTAATGGGAAATTCCGTTATCTTATAAAAATTTTGTTATTAAATAACAATTACTACAAAGACTTTATTTCTATTAATATAATAGAGCGTACGTTATTTTTTTCTATTTTTACAATAACACACAATTACGTAATTATATTATCGTAGCGGCATAATGTTTTCAATTATTGGCATAAGAATTGTATGAAAGTTGAGATAAACAGTTTTTTTACTTTTTGCATAACTGCCAAACATGTGTATTCATCAAGGTAATTAGAGTAATTCTACCGTAATCACACGTTTTCTTATACGGTGACGAACGATTTTTGAACTATCTGTATTTAAGAAATGCGGTGGTAGATACTCAACTTCGATCGTATCTACAATACTGATATCGCACGCATTACGTAATTATGATAAACTCTTTGATAATAACGTTGACAGTATAACGCGAATATATCTGTGACGAGGTATTACAATATGGAGAAGAATTTATATAAGTATAACGACATTTTTTTTACGAGGGAACAAAACTGAAAATTTTGATAGCGGAAACAGATATTCTAGATATTACTTTATTAATTTTTACTGCGATACAAAAGATGTATTAAATTACATTAAAATATCTTGAAGTAATTATATTAGTAGTGTAATAATATACTCTAAGATGTATAGTAAGATTAGCATATAAATTTCCTTAATGCAAAATCACAACTCTTTTAATGAAAAATATTTTCCTGCTATTTCATGCAACTCACAATCTCATGTCTCACGTATATTTATCCATATGGACATGAATATCTTTACGTCACGAGATTTTTGTTTGTCCAACTATTATCTTATGACGCGACTCATAAACACTTTGCACGCTTTTACACGTTTGAGCGTCAAGTGTGATAAAGACGAGAGACACTTTCGACTGTAGAGTCACTTATTTTTTCCGATATTTGCAGGTGATGAGCCAGGAAGTCAAGAAGGAGACTCCACTGCAGTTCAAGTTTCGTGCAAAATTCTATCCCGAAGACGTCGCCGAGGAACTGATACAAGACATTACGCTGCGACTTTTTTACCTCCAGGTAAAAAAAAATTATTTATGCATTTTTCTCGTTTTCTTTTTCTCTCTCTTTCCACTCGCGATTTTAGTAACAATTTTCAATTTGGTACTTTTGTTCTCGAAGTAATTCCGAAACTTATGATTGAGGTACAGAGCAAATTGATCTATAACAGAATAAAAACAATGCATCTCATTCATTCGTTGATGGTTGGATTATAAGCCATGTGCATCAGACTGTTCGTTTATCTGATTTGCTTCTTTTCGTCCTTCATCATTTCATCCTCGCGCCGAATACGCTTTTAATTTTTTTTTTGCCCAGTCCAGTTGAAACAGCCAGATACATCAGTGTTTAAGAATAACGATGTCTTGTGAAATTAGCGGAATTTTATTTATAATTTGGAATAATATTCATTTCAAAGGATTGTAAAATAAAATCTTAATGGTTTTTTATATTAATTTATAAATATTTTATTAATTGCTTATAAAATAAGCCGCAATCTGATTATTTAATTTTATTACAATTTACTAGCTTTTTCATCCGCACTTCGCGCGGCTCAAAAGCTCTTTCTTCTTTTCCCTGAACGGTAATATTTACTCCAAAAAAAATTTTTTTTAAATGAACCTTTTTTAGACACTTGTATGGGGGTTCCTTGTCCCCGGACTCAGACTCCTTCTGTAAACCCTCTACGGTCTAAGTTAGAGTATCATGAGATAGTATACCAAATTTGATTGTTCTAATTTCAAAACTGTAGATTTGCATAGCGGACAAACATACATACATACGTTTATATATAGGTAGAGATTTTCGTTAATCGATATTGCTGTTTAAATAATTATATATTTAGTAATACGTTATTAAATAATCGATATCAATGTTTTAATTGATTGCAGGTGAAGAACGGTATTCTCACGGATGAAATATATTGCCCACCGGAAACATCCGTTCTGTTGGCTTCGTATGCCGTTCAAGCGAGACATGGAGACTATCAGAAGGGCAACCATCCCGCTGGCTTCCTGGCGAATGATCGGCTGTTACCACAGCGCGTTGTGGACCAACATAAAATGAGCAAAGAGGACTGGGACAGCTCTATTACGAATTGGTGGCAGGAACATCGTGGTATGCTGCGAGAGGACGCCATGATGGAGTATCTGAAAATTGCTCAGGTATCAATTCGCTGTTAAATAACGTGTACAAGAAAACCGAAATATATGGCAAAGACTTCAGGAGGGAATGGATATGACATACGCGTCAATATTTATTTACCGATTGCAAAATTATTTTACTTTTGTATTATTTACGTAAACTATATTAGAAATAATTTGTTCCTAGAAATTGTATGTAAAGCATTCTCGTTAGTTGATGCTGCAATCCATTCCTGAAGGTCTGCGCATCTGTGTAACAGCAACGCGTTTTGATTATACTTTTTAATTACTCATATAATATCGTATTTTAACTCGACATTTATTTACAAGATATTGGTTTTTAATCCGTCTTTCCGAGAATATTACGCAGACTCTATTTCTGCACTCGGAAATATTTTACCATGCGAAAATTTATGGAATACTGCTACTCTTGGACTAGTATCACTGGTATCGTTTTAGTATTTTCCTTTATTTTTGCTTTCCGTAGGACTTAGAGATGTATGGTGTGAATTACTTTGAAATTCGCAACAAGAAGGGCACAGACCTTTGGTTGGGTGTGGATGCTTTAGGTTTGAACATCTATGAGAAGGACGATAAGCTTACGCCGAAAATCGGCTTCCCCTGGTCCGAGATACGGAATATCTCGTTCAACGATAAGAAATTCATAATCAAGCCAATCGACAAGAAGGCACCGGACTTTGTATTTTTCGCCGCCAGAGTCAAGATTAACAAGAGAATTCTTGCGCTATGCATGGGCAATCACGAGCTTTACATGCGCAGACGTAAGCCGGACACGATCGACGTGCAGCAGATGAAGGTAGGAATATTACGTTATATTTGATATTGAGCTGAGAAATAAATAAAACATAATTATTGATGCATATACTTATCTAAAGCTGATTATATAACGTTATCGTTAACAATATTTGATCATCACTTTACGTAACCATTATAGCATATTGCATCTATCTAGAATTAAAATATTTTAATTTAACGATTAACTAAAAGCTGATTATATAATCGTTTAGGATTTATTTTAATTAGTTATAACATATATTTTGCTTCTGAGATTGTAACGATTGTGATAAAATTCCTTCAGGCTCAAGCTAGAGACGAAAAGATGGCGAAACAGCAACAGAGAGAGAAACTGCAACTGGAGATAGCTGCCCGAGAGCGTGCGGAGAAAAAACAACAAGAATATGAAGAGAGGCTAAGAAACATGGCCGAGGAAATGGATAGGCGGCAGGCTGAGTTGAACGAAGCTCAGGAAATGATTCGGCGCTTGGAGGAACAGCTGAAACAATTGCAGGCTGCCAAGGAAGAGCTAGAGAATCGCCAGAAAGTGAGTCTATTTAACCATGATTTAAAGAAAAACTATATCACTACGCTACCAATAAATAATTAATGTCGTTTTTATTTTTTATCTAATTTACATAATTCCAATAATTACATATGTTGCTCAATGAATGTGTCTACGCACGATTTTTTTCTCTGTAACTTGTGTGTTGCGTGTGACGTAGGAATTGACAGTGATGATGGAAAAGTTAGAACTGTCGCACGAGATGGAGGCTGCGGAGCGCGCTAAACTCGAGCAGGAGATAAGAGCCAAGCAGGAGGAGGTACAACGCATACAATCCGAGGTGGAGGCTAAGGACGCGGAAGCTAGGAGATTACAGGCCGAGTTCGAAGCTGCCAAGTATGAGCAATTTTCTTTTTTTTTCTCATTCTTTGTTTCTTACAATTAGTTAACATAATCGAGGATAATTGCATGTTTATCATTCTTGTTATGCAAGACTGAGACAAGAAGAAGCTGACCGACAATATCAGGCCAATCAGACTCCGCATCATCATCATGTCGAGGAGAATGAAGAGGGCGAAGAGGAAGGTGAAGACGAGGTTCCTCAAGGAGATGTTACTAAGGACCTCGCGACTGATGAGTCAATAATCGATCCTGTCGAAGAGCGACGCACTTTAGCAGAGAGAAATGAACGTCTCCACGACCAATTGAAGGTACGTTGATATCTGATTTCAATATATTTTATTCAGTTTTTTATTTTTTATTTTAAGCTTTGTAATTTTATACAGTTAAAACTTCTGCTTTTAACCGTTTATTCCTCTAGTAAAAAATCTGAAAATACGTTTATGCGATTTGACACAAACTTTACGAGAGATTTTGTATGCACTGCTATAATGGAACGCTCTCATTGACAGGCATTGAAACAAGATCTTGCCCAGTCACGTGACGAAACCAAGGAGACGGTGATGGATAAGATTCACAGGGAAAACGTGCGCCAAGGCCGCGACAAGTACAAGACACTTCGCGAGATTCGCAAAGGAAACACCAAACGCCGCGTTGATCAGTTCGAGAACATGTAAATTAATGTGCGTGCATCTAATCACTTACCTTATACATGTCCTTTCCTACCTTCAATTTTTCACCTGACTTTGCGAAAGCGGAGAATGCAGTAAAATGCTAACGATAACGAAAAGAGAAAAAGAGAAGGCGATTAATAGAAGATAAGACAGGGAGAGAAATAGAGAGAAGTATAGATTCTACAATCAATGTATAAATAGAATAATTTGAATAACAACAGACATATATATTTCCGATCAATTAAACTTCAATCTTTCTCAACATTTGCGCGAATGACAACCGTGATTATCGTATAACGAGAATTATGAGCAATATTCCACGTTAGTTTGATGACGATTCTATATCTTCACGCAAAACCGATAATCAAAGCTCTCACCTTTTTTTGGTGAGAAACGCGACGAGAGCGAGTGACTCGCGTCGTCTTCCACGTATACTTCCATGTTAACGCTGCACGATTGGCGGAATCGTCACATGCCTCAGGAGCGCGAGTAAATTTTCTCGCTACTTCGCGCAGAAGTGCCTTGCTTGTGAAACTGATAGTTCCCCCTTACTTTAACTGTCTCCTAGTAGCAAAAACTAAGTTCTGAATATTATTATTACTCTAATAATTTAGCGTAACGATATTATCATTCTGGTTTCAACAAGATAAAAAGCACTTTGCGCCCAAGTGACAAGAAAATTTTCGGTATTGAATCAGTCCGTTACCGTTACTTAAACCTTTTTCTGCGCATCGATGGACCCAATATCTCGATCACCGAGGTACCAGTATTGGTCTCGCCTCACAATAAGTATTACTGCCGGTCATTTATTCGTATCGCAAGATGCCGATCCTTCGCCGCTGATTATCTACCGGTGTCCTCCTATCCGTCACGTTCTTATCGCGCCGTCACGTACTGTCCGTCCTTGATAATAAGGATTCGCTTTCGAGAAGCCCTCAAACGCTATGACTATCACTCGCATCTCGGCCGATGTGTCGCGACGGCAATCGCGGTCGTTACCTGTTTACGGGCGGTTTTTTTCTATTTTGTACGCTTAATTCGGGCCATATTTATAGACAGATTGTACGTTCGGAAAAGCTGCTCGACAGCCGCTAGTTGACCGGCGATATCTAAGTTAGGTACTAACGTCGAACACCGACTATAGAGGAATCGAGATAAGGCACGTGGCTCATATTGTATCGAGTTAGATAGAAATTTAGGCGTAATCCACCTTGAAGTTCGTATTGGGAAGCGACCGTTTCGAGCAAGGGGACATCTCACGACATCCAATTTTATTTGTTTTTTATATTAGCCTAGAGTCTTCTTGAACAATATTACTTATTGGTTAAGTATCTCGTGTATATGTTCAGAGGAAATCTTGGTAATTCTATGCGAACAGATATGAATCTTCAAATCTATTCTTTTACAAAATTCAATACTTCAATTTACCCATTTCCAAAATTTCAAATGTCTCGGTCGTCGTTTGTAAATCGCATGTCGCAGTTGTCCCCTCGCGCATCACATGCGAATCACTATTGCGGCACAATCTGTCACTCCGGATTAATAAACGTAAGCGATTCAACACGATGGCATGGCCTATTACTGGTAAAATCGTACCGAACTATTTTCGTACGAGCGAATTTCGATGACACTTTAGCGATTTTATATTGAACACACTCGTGGCCTTTACTTGATATACATATAAGTATATAAATAAATATATATATCGAAGTACTATAAGAGTAGTACTAATATAATGACTAGCCGAGAGAGAAAGAAATGTAAGGATATCGCGCCATATAGAGAGAATTTGTTCTGCATACCTTCAACATAAGGTTGAACCGCGCGGTACTCGCCGAATGGCTTTAGCTACCAAGATTTCCGAAAGAATGAAGGAACGAGTGCGAGAGAGGGAGAGAATGTGATAAGGGAAATAATTAACCGTGTGAAAGAGAGTGAGAGAGAGGCCAAGTGATAGAGAAAACACATTTATGGCAATCATATGCCATTGTAATTTTTAAAATCTTTCGCCTTAAGAGAATATTCTGTATACAACGGGATTACAACTAACGAAAACTCGAACCTCGAGACGCTGCCAATTTTTCATATGACGGAATGCAAAACGAAGAGCGATAGCGGTGTGATACCGATGAGGCGTATGTGTGTGAGCTTTACGTAGAAGAGAAGATCGCGAAGTAATGTAAACGATCGCGCCGTATCACGAAAGAGTTTGTGTACTTTGCTACATTACTATCATTATCCGCGCGTTACAATAATATGCGCGAAGCAGAAAGGAGGAAAAAGTACAGGAGTATAATAATGCGATAGATATTTTTTGATTATATTTAATATTAAAAATTTACAAATTAGTAGTGTTATATTATTAATATTAATGTTTACAATTTAGTAGCGTTATTATTATTTTATTATTATTATGCAGGTAATATTGAACGAGAACTAAAGCATTTTATAGTCGTCAATTTATACTCTTAAGATAATCCAGCACGTAGATTTGGTCGTAGTTTACGGTAAAAAAAAAATTTACAGAGATACTTGAATAATGATCCAATCTTTTTATTCAAATTATGCTTAGTTGCTTTTTTTAAATCTTTTCGATCTGCCTGCGGATTTGTAGGGAAATTTTTTCTACAAGCTAATACAGTGTATTCGAGATTTGTGATTTGATAAGAGTTATTTCCAAATTTTTTAAATTCTTTCCATTTAATAGTGTACAGATTTGTGACCAAATATACGTGTGAACGAAATGAGAAGCAAAATTATTACTAATTAAAGAGATAACATTTTGATAATCGACGAACGAATGATAGGCGAGAACAAACTTGAAAGTTCATCTCGATACTCTTTGGCGATTAAACGCTTTGGCGAAACCGATGAATTTTTATTGAGACATTCCAGATAAAAATTTCCCGAAAAGAGCTTTTTTCCCCCCTCGATTTACTCGACATTCGATTCGAACTCTCGATTTGGAGATCGCACCTTGACCTTCTTCCTCTCTTCGCAAAATTTCGTGCTTTCACTTGTTCCCTAGAGCGTACTTTTAATTCTAGGATGCTAAATTATTTATAAATCATACACGAAGTCAATTTAAACGTATATAGAAACGAACTCTCGGTCGTTTCACGATTCATTTATCACAACTATCTTTTAAATTGGAATGTAATGCGAATTAAAACTGGGTTTGCCCAATCGGCGTGAAGCGATATTTAGATCTTTTGGAAATAAAAAGATCTCAGATCTCGACGATTCGATGTCTGGGAAATTTCAACGAGAAGAATGGTCCGTTTAGAGTCACTTTTCTCGAAGGATCCTTGAAGCGCATCCTAGAGTTAAATAACGTTATCCAGTTCTTCGCACTTCGCTGCACATACGAAAGTAAATCTTAAAGTAGCGAGCCGTGTAGTCGTATGTCCCTCATGAAGGTACCCCAAACACACACGTAGAAACGTGCACATGGTGCTGTAGCATTTTTTCCTTACTGGAACATATCGAAACGTGTGTATTTGGCGCCAAACATGCGTTTCATTCCTTTTTTTGTCTTCCTCCTTTCCAAGCTCTGAGACACAAAACTCGGTGGCGTTGCAATGAATAGAATTCGAACGCGTCCTTTTTCCGTTTCCTGCATCCGTGAGAGGATTCTCGTGTAAGTAGCAATGTTATCGAGCTTAAACAAACTGGCGAAGATACGAGACATGTACACACGATGCAGAGATGCATAGACATTTGTATTTTAACGAAAACAATATTATTTGTTGGTGCGAGGATATAATGGAAACTTGTACTTTCCTGAGGAAGCTAGAGATTGTTTAAATAAAAAAAATTTATATCAAACACAAGTTGAATGATGATCTAGCAGAGATTCTTAATGTCTTTTAAATTTCAATACAGAGAATTGGAGAACAAGATGCCAAAAGCTACCGGAAAATCTAGTCATTTAAACAACAATTTTATTCCATTCGTTGGTTAAGCTAACCGCAGTTGGTGAAATTGGCCCTTAAGGTGATCCTAAAGCCGTGATTCTAGCCGGTTTTTTTCGGTTTTTTTCTTAGCACTAATCTTCTAATTGGCTTTATAGAAATGCAAAATTCTTGTCTAGAATTAAAGTATATATTATAAGCTAAAAAAAAATTTATTTTTATAAATATTGTCTTCACCTGACGACAATATTTGCTTAAACAAAAATACGGCAGTTTATATATATACAAAATGATACCCAATTGCACTAGGGACAACATGTAGCGCATTATTACAATGGGCGCGTTCAGCAGACACAACTGTTGAGTCTCGTCTTATCAACAATCTGCTTTGATTGGTTGGTTCTAAAAGTAAGAGCCAATCACGTTCGAATGCTACTGAGCGGTTTGTTCTGCTGAACGCGCCCATTGATAATTCAATATTATATACCGTTTGGCGTAAATAAGCTTCTTATAAAACTATGGAATTTATTACGAAAAATATTCCAAAGTTCGAACTTGGACCTTTCTGCTATCCGAAACGAGAGCATTTGTTGAATAATATCTCTCTTTCGAACGTTCAACCCTTCGATTCTCGCGTGGTTCAAAAATTGCCGCGTTCGATATATCGGCGCTATAATCGATATATCGTCGGCGGCGCGCCGGCGCGCCGCGCCTGCGCACCGCGATTCACGGAGCCGCAGAAGTCGCAGAACGAACGACGAGCGATGAGTGGCGACGGCGACGACGTCGCGCGCGTTTCTCGTGGCGAGGTGACGATGTTGCGTCGGTCTAAGTCGAGTCGCGCCGCGAAAATCCCCGGCAACGGGTCCACCGACGACGAGGACGTCGATAACGCTAGGTGGGTGCTTGGCGGTGGGTGTCTGGCCAGCGACACGTGGCTCGACGCGACTCGCGACACGCGACGGCCGGAGGGCTCCGGATTGACGGAACGACACCGGCGTGTCGCTCCTCCGTCGCTATCGCCGAGGCGCTCTTTGTTTACATACTTATCGTGCGATGGCCGAATTTGACCGGTCAAACTAGATCCCGGCGGCTCGGCCAGCGCGCGCTGTTCGCGCCCGTCGTCAGCCGTCGTCGCCGGCCAGTCGCGACCGCGACTGATCCCGTGTTCCGTTGGCGACGAAGCGCCGATGATTTATCGCGCGAGACGATTATCGTCGCTTCTCTTTCGTTGGTTGCTGCGAACGAATTCGTGATTCCTTGTCGCTTTTTAATAATTCCGTGAAAAGAATTTAAATAAGATTTAAAAAAGAGTTTCTATATTCGCGGTTGTTTCTTTCCTTTTTTTGTGGTAGTAATGCTCGCACCAGAAAAAAGACCTTTTTATTTATTCGCACCAAACACCAATACTGTTTTATACTATATACAACATTTGTATATAGTAGAACAACCTGTTCTTTCAGATATTAAATTATTGTAATAATTATTGTTACTTTGGCAGTAGCATACTTTTATAAATATAAATGTTCTACTAATTATTTTATTTTGTAATATTAATTTTAATTTACTGTTATATTTTATAATTTCTGTAGAATACCCCAGATAGCCAAATCTACCAAAAACGGGTTTTGCAAAGTGTTCAATACAAATTCTGTTAACAGCAAATTAGTTAGAAACGCAACGGACTCCCCTAACAGAATTTGACGGCAGAGTGACTGCAGAAACCGAGCAAATTCATTTATTTCAATATTATATTATATATTTCATTTAAATGATTATGAAAAAATGGCAGATTCTACCCGGTTTTTTCTGTCAGATTAGGTCGGCGATTTTCGCGGGCAGAATATGAGCTTAATGGGAACGTAGTTGATGCCTGTCCATCGCAATATTCTGCTAGCAAACTACTAACATACTATTAAACGGGTTGGATACTTTATTCATAACGCTTAGTATTTTCTCCGAAAGAATCGCGCGTATAGATCTAAAATGCGTGAGAATTTACGAATTCACGATAACGCTTTATTTCTGAAGCAACGTCCCGTTTCTGCAAATTTCCCCGATGACAATCAGCGAGATAAACCTTCCGGCAGAAAAAACGCACATTCGATTAAATATCTTGTTTGTAGTAAGGATGATTCAATCAGTCCGCCAAACGAGTTTGAAGAGTCGCTGCATACGATGTCGGATATTTACGGACAAACGCCGCCCAGGACACGTCTCAGTCGCAAGAAGAGGCACATGAAGCAGAAGCTCTCGTCGGGCAGGTGCGTGCAACGAAGCCGCAAATTAAATCCGCGCGAAGAATTGTTGGGAATACATACGTATAATTATTACGTATTTTGCGATGCATCATTTCACAGCTAAACATAAACGAATTTAACGAATAATTGTAAAATATAAAGTGCTCTACATGCGTTTTGCGATCTTAACCCTTTATAGCGTACTGTCGCCAAATTGACCAATAAGGAACGGTCAAAATAACGATCGTTAACGTTTTTTTTCCTACCAACGAGGTTGGTGAAAAAAATAATTTAATATTTGCTTTCCGGGAGTCTCGCCCTATAAAGGGTTAAGATGGAAGATATAGAACGATTTCGGAAATTAGAAATTACATAAGAAAAATTTTCAACGTGTGGAAATCGCTTTTACGCTTCGCGGAAGAAGTTTTCGCGATATGAATCAAGTCGGTCGCTAATTTAATTGTCACTCTTGTGTGGCGACAAAGTGTGCGAACTATCTTTAGTCTTTTGTCAATTCTAGCGATCTCAAGTCAATAGAGAAAGAGGCCAGGCCAAGGACGGCTATCCACAGGCGCAACACCCTGGACACTATCATCTTCAACGAGATGTGCGATAAAGCTGACAAAGATAACGAGGACGAGACGAAGGAGGACGCGAAGGAGGGTAGCAGGAAGTGCAAGAGAAGTTTGAAACTATTGCGTGGCAACGAAAGGGACCTGAAGCTCGACGTGGAGGCTGCCCACAACTATGCCGAGAGATACACCGGCGACGTGGCGGTATCGACGCCGAATCAAATCAAGGTTCGACAAGGCAAAGAAGTGATTTTAGATTATTGGCCGCGTTTGGAAAACTCAACAGTTGCGCCTGTGATTAGTGTACATTTAAATCGATCAATCATCTGTTTTTCCTGGCCCGTCAAACTTTATGCTATCCCAACGCAGTCACGTTCTCACCTTTTTTACGAATGTATTTGGCACATAGTCAAGAAATATGCTCTTCTCTTTAGGTCGAGACCAGAAATAGATTTCGCTGCCTGCGATCCAAGCCCGTTGACGTGGAGGAGAAGAAGGTGGAGCGTGAAGTCAGCGAACGGAGCGTGTTGATAAATGAGGAAAACTTGCGCGCGCAATCGCCAAGAACGCAAAGTTTGAGGGAGAGAGAAATCTTTCACGACACATTCTCTTTCTTAATTAAGTTGGTGAATATCTGATTACGAAATAAACTTGAGCTAAATCAAATGTACTTGTCTATAGAGTATATCGTATTTATATATTCTTTATTACTGATTAAATTATTTTTTTTTGTTGCGCAGGGAAGTACAGAACGGAATTGTCGTCGCCAGATGAGTCACGAGGAAACTAGATGGCAAAACGAATTAAAGGACCTAATATGGTTGGAATTGCAAGCGCATCATGCGGACCGTAGTCTGATAGCGCAGGATGAATATCTATGCCGCCAACGAGAGGCGGTGGAGGGTTTACTTTCAGAAATAATGGAATATAGGTGAGCGGGAGCGTTTTCCTCGAAGGGAATCAATTTTGTGATATATTGTATAATAACTTTAATTAGGTATAAAGAGAAGAATAACAGCAGTTACACACTGATAGTGCTAAGAGAACGCAATTATTGCATTAGATACGATCCCATCGCGGACATCCAAGAGGGAGGCCCGAGTGTCAGCCCTGGCGACGTTATGAGTGATCGATCCACAAATTCCGGTTCAAACGCTAACATTGAACTGAGTATATGCCCGGGTTGTCTTTCTATGTACTGCCGTGCGTGCGCCCGTGCGCAGGGAGAAGCATTGCAGCAGGTGGAAGGTCTGCTGGCTCGCTTGGAAACCGCGGAAGCCTTGTATCCATCCTCCCATGCGTTCGCCGTTAATTACCCGTTGTATAAGAGTCCAGAGTTCACTGATAGAGTAAAGGCTATGTGTCTCTGGTACAACATGACGAAACACCACCGGTTCAAATTGCTGATACTAGGTAGATTACTCATGATGCTGCACAGCAAAAAGAAACAGGACGAGTTTAACGACTCTGGGATCAGGTACGTTGATTTGAACTTTGCTTTGGTAATATTTTGCACTATATTATTTGTATTCGAACTTTGTTTCGTTTGTAATGTGTTTAAAACAGAAGATACCTTGATGAATTTCTCTTGATGTATGTACAGAAGCTTCGGAGTTAGGTAATCGATTGTTCTTATCTTTAGTTCGCGATCTTCAGATACTGTCGATTCTGCGGAGCGACAATCCATGGTGCGGTTTGAATTACCTCAACAGGACGAAACTTCCAGTCCCTCCGACAGTAATAACAGCAACAATTCTTCGATCGGAGGTTTATCATTTATATCGCAATCACTGCCACCTACTCCGGAAACTTCATTCTCGTGTCCTGAGGACGAAAGAATCGATCGACTCGATTTCTACTTGGTAGAATTTGATCGACACGCTTATAGGTATGTGTTTTGATACATATATACTTAATATATTAATATCTGCTTTTAATTTAAATTTATTGGTAAATTATTTCTTATTTAAATTATTTAAAAATTTCATGTATCTTTATTTTATTTTCAAACAATTAATTAAAATTTTAAACTTAGTTATGACGGTACAAATACATGACACAAATTATATGATGATAATTTTTGTTTATCTGTTTAGAAAATACATTGAGGATGTATTGAAAACGAGAGGTCTCAGAAAGAGTTTGAATTTCCTGGATCGACTACATACATCTATATTGAGAAAAGCTAGATTAACTTTGGAGAAAAATGACTGTGAGGGATGCGATAGTAATGCGAATGAAGAATACGAAGGTGACAGAGAATTACGACGATATGGTATTTGGAGCTCTGAAGCGAAAAAATTGAATCTACCGTCATACAGGTGCGTGGAATTTCCAATTAAAAAGATTTGTTGATATTTAATATTTTTAGTTTAGATATTGAAGAATGATCTGTTTTGTCTCAAAATTCTGATTTGGCACTCGAATTTAACACCAAATTTATACTTTTACCAGATGAATTGAATTAAACTAAAAGGACGTAAATGTCTGTATTTTCAATGATACGCTTGAAGAAAAAAAAGTGTAGAAAATTTTTAAGCAATGTGCTTTCTCTTGTTTTTAAGAAATTTTTAAGTACATTCTGAAATAGCTTAGAAAATTTTCCTTGTTTGAATCGAATTCAGAAGCAGTGTTGAGTATGTTAAGCTATATATTACGCTATCTGTTAAAATAGATAGTTTGCTAAAATAATAGTAATGTTTTTTTTTTAGGGCAGCTTTTGTGTTTCTCTCGCGTGTGCCTCTGGATGTGGTTCATGAATTTTTAAGGATGAGATTGGAGCAGAAACCGGAGCAGCCGAGTCCGTTGTCGGTTCGACAGCTCATGCGAGAGCTTCGCGAGGGTCTCAGGATTGCTTGCATCCATCGCGATCGATTCGCCGCACACTCTTGTGCTGCCGTCGCCAGCGATGAAACCGGCTGTGAGTGTCTGTTCGAGGAGGATGTCAAGTACTTCGATGAGAGTCTGAGAGCTGTGTTCGAGGTGTACCTGGATTATCTTCAGCAGTGGGTGGACATGGTGCAACATGACAGTTTCCACAAAAATCTGATTATGGATGAGTGGTTGTTTGTCAAATCCATCGCTGGAAATATAAGCGATGGATACAAGATTGCTGGCGTGAAATTCTAGTGAGTATAATATCAGCTAGATATTTCTTATGTCATTCGCATTGAGAAAATAATAGAATGAACTAAATAGAATTAATAATATTAGTGTAACGTAATAATGACGAAAGTTACATTATTATTAAGTATTTTTTAATTCTTATATTTTAATTTATATTATTTTATATATTTGATATTGAAGATGTGTGTGTGTGTGTGTGTGTGTTTCTTGCAGTAAGATTGCACGTACGATGATTAAACAAGTGAATGAATTTCTTATCGAACGAACTCGCGAAATCCGAGAGAATGCGAATTGCGAAGAGAAAGAGGACGATGAGTTGTCAAGCAAGTAAGAGAAAATTTGCATTTATTCGTCTCTGCTTTAATGGTTTTGTAAACTGTTTTTTCTGTAGTAAATTAATGTTTAGATTCCATCTGATGTTTGTGGGCCGCGAGTGGCAAGGAATGTTTGTGGAGACTCGGGAGAAGATTGTGAAGAGTATCAATCTCGCCAAATGCTTAAAACATGACATCGAAAAATGGCCCGTTTCCGACCAGGAATTGGAAGAATCATTAAAACTGTTGAAGGTAAGATTAAATAAACGATTATATGTATAACTGTTGGAAAGCTAACGTTTTTTTTTGCGTTATAGGATATTGTCCTGGATTTGAGGCATCGTATAACAATGGTGATCGAAGACTTCCAAAGAGAAGCCAACGAAGTGGAGCAATCGAATACCGAGAACGACCAGATGCCTTTACGATCGAGAATCCGCGAGATTCTCCATCAAGCTTACAAGATGGGTTTCGATTTTCACAAGGAGATGTGCAAGCTATTTTCGCTGGAAGAAAAAGCCATTCTGGCGCGGGGTTTAGTATCATTCGCACTACTATGGATGGAGTTTGTGAGAACGCGATGCGAGCGTGGCCGCGGCTTGAGGCCCAGGTGGGCGAATCAAGGTCTGGAATTTTTAATAACGGTGTGCGAGCCGTACAACACGAAGCATCTCACCGATCAGGAGTTTGAAGAGTTAAAGATGTGTATGGATCGCTGCATATCTCATGTGGTGGGAACCGTGTCAGTTACAGGATCGACGCCAGAAACAGAAAGTAATTTATAAATTTCCAATCGTTAATTTCAACTTTTTTATGATTAGTTTCTAAATGCCATTTATCTTTATGACTATAAGTTCAACAGAAATTATAAATATCAATTTTATTACTTTAAACGTCTGTTTTATTATTTAAATTTACTAAAGTTTTTGAAACTTTCTAAATGAATAATTTGGTCCTAAAAATCAAGTTTAATTTGATTAAATGAATAGATTTTGTTACGATCATTAGCAATATTTGCTTTCAGACTTAAGAAAACTGTCGCGATCAAGAGCTTCATCGCCGTCGCACCATGGTCGCCCTAGAACCGCGAGCATCAGCATCTCTCAGAAGCCACGGGACGCTTTGAAGTCGCCCGAACTTTCAGTCAATGCGAAGAAAGGTAATTCGCCGAACATAGTTGACGGAAATCTCGCAGTGACAATAAACACGCCTGAGCGAGGTACGCAGAGGCACGAGAGGGTTATCCGTGCTCTCAGGAAAGTGGAGAACGAGCTCGATGAAAGATTGCGGAGCCGGGAACTCATCGGACAAGTCATCGACAGGAAAGCAGTAGATAGAGTTCACATTAAGGCGAGACGAGTTACGTTCACGTGGCAACGAGGTATTAAAATAGGTATGTTTTACGATCACCTGAAACACGTAAAAGAATTATTTATTGTATTAATAAATAATTAACTATAATATATTATAATTTTTAGTAACAATATTTTAATAAGTGAATTTTATTATGTAGGTCAGGGAAGGTTTGGAAAAGTGTATACCGTGGTGAACAATCAAACCGGTGAATTGTTGGCTATGAAAGAGGTGCAACTGCAACCTGGCGATTGCAGAGCGATCAGGCGTGTCGCCGAGGAATTACAGATATTCGAGGGAATCCAGCATCAGCATTTAGTGCGATATTACGGACTAGAAATTCATCGTGTACGATAAACATAACATAGTTGTTGTTACGATATATCAACTCGTGATTATTGCGTTATCGCGATAAATTTCACTTTTAGGAGGAGATGTTGATTTTCATGGAATTTTGCGCAGAGGGAACTCTCGAGAGCTTAGTGGCAGGCAGCGGTAATGGACTGCCGGAATCATTGGTCAGAAAGTACACTCATCAGCTCCTTTCAGCTGTGGCAGCGCTGCACTTTCACGGAATTGTTCATCGAGATATCAAAAGTAGTTACATTTGAATAAAATAATCTCTTGTAAAATTCATGCTATTTTTATGCATTATATAATATTTCTTTCTTTCTGTAGCTGCAAATATTTTTCTAACAGACGAAGGTAATTGTCTGAAACTCGGCGACTTTGGTAGCGCAGTGCAGATTAAAGCACACACAACTATGCCTGGGGAACTCCAAGGCTTTGTCGGTACTCAAGGTTAGTATTTTAATTGTTGTGTAGTAAAATTTCATAAATTTATTGCAACTGATTATATAATTACGTTTAAAAATTTAACAAACTGTTCAAACACTTCACAATTCTTGTATTTTTAATTATCTCTTTAATTTTTTAAAGCTTATATGGCACCAGAAGTATTTATGAAGTCTGAAAGTAGTGGACACGGTAGAGCCGCCGATATCTGGTCGGTAGGCTGTTGCATCATCGAGATGGCGAGTGGAAGACGGCCTTGGTCAGATTATGATTCAAATTATCAAATTATGTTTAAGGTAATTACAATTAAATGCATTATTATAAAGTTGGAAAGTAATTATTTTGATGGTTTGAAATAACGATAAGATAAATGAAAATTTAGATGTTTAAGAATTCAGAACTGAATCTTTCTTCTCATATTTTTATTTTTTTAAATCGAATTTTAAATGTTATTGAAATTTAAAATATTAATTACCTAACTCGAGATTTTTGGTTTTTTATGCCAAGGTCGGAATGGGAGAAACACCAGCCCTTCCGAAAAATCTTTCCGCCGAAGGTATAGACCTCGTGAAGAAGTGTCTTCAACACGATCCAAAGAAAAGGTTGACTGCAAATAATCTCCTCGCGCACTCTTTCGCGCGTGGAGAGTACGAAGATGTTAACGCTGATTTAACGATGCCGCGTTAGAGTTATCGGGAGGATGTAAGTACTCACGAATTTTAATCTTTTAATTTTTTTTAATAATAATTATAATATTTTTCTCACCGATCGAACAAGATATATTATAAGAAAAATCAAAATAAGACAAAGTCAATTACTTGTGATCTGTGCGAAGATATAGTTTGCGGTAAAATCGCTAAGAAGAAAAGATTTCAAACGGAATTCATATGACGTTCAATCTAGAGAGATAATATTCATATCTATGTTTCTTGTAGTGCACGATCTCCGTCAGAGATGCAAAACTGGCTTTTGCATTCGTACTTAATCGGTAGAACTATTCTACTCATTTGTTATATTGTATTATTTGAATAATAGCGAATTCGGGAGCTTGCACTAGTGCACACTGAGTGCGCACTAAGGCTTGTTCTTAATCAATTGTTATATTTACAGATCATCTTAAATACTTCTTAGTCTGTAAAATGATTTGTACAGAATCCATATAGATATTACAGATTGTTTTATTGGCTAAAAAGTTTTTAAATGTGTATTTAAACGACTTTAAATATAAGATTATAAACAAGCCTTAGTACGCACACAGTGTGCACTAATGCAAGCTCCCGAATTTGCTATAAGCTCTTCTGAGCAATCAATCATCAATCCAATGTGTCTTATTCAGCTTCAACGGCACTGTTTAAACATAATATTATGTTAAATATAATAGCCGGTAATATTTGCGGCAGGCTATACAAAGGAACAAGGCAGTCTGAAAATATTTTATCTACTGACAAAACCAGTGTAACATATAAATACTATTGTGATCATGTTACTTAAGCTTAATTATACAGTGCTTCCCAAAGTACACTTTCTTTCCATTACAATTGTTAAATGATGAGGCTAAAGATTACTAGAAACAAAGTTTTTAGCACTGAAAGTTGTAAATTAGATTTTGATGTACATAGGTATGCAAAAAAATGTAAATAGCAAAATTTAGTTTTACAATTAATTTGAAATAATTTTTACAAAATGCCCCTAATATATATAGAGAGTCTTAGTAGATTCAATGATAAAAAGATATGTAATGTTAAAGATTAAAAATGTTATTATTAGTGGCATCGATTTAATGTTTGTGAATAAATTCAATGTAGTTTTACACCAGGATTGTCTGGTGGAAAGAAAGTGCAGCTTTGGAATATCCTTGTTTTTTATGTGATTTTTATGTGAGTTAGCTACACTAGAATAACTTGAATAATTTGAGCTAAAAAAATGAAAGACTCCAAAAGCGTTGCAACGAAATGTAATGAATTTTGATTGTCATAAATGATCGCATGTATAATTTTTCACTCATTGTCAGTCGAGTGGTATATGTTTATAAAGAGTGTGGTGTTTAAGTATATATAAGAATGCAGTGAAAAATATACATCTCTTTTCATTTTTATCTAAAAATATACCTAAAAATATATATACAAAATATAGTTTTATAATACTTGCATTTATCGTTTATATAAGCTTTAGCATAGTGCTGTGTATTCCTTATAAATGTATGACTGATACAAACGATAGAGGCAAGATACTTTACATTCCGAGGATTATATCCACACCTCACCTCAATTAGTATTAAATGCGGCTGTCCGACACTCACATTACGTTAAACTTCGCATTTTCACCTGGATGTTTAGGCATTCGTGTTTAGTGCTAGTTGCGACCTAAAAAGAGGTGTGATTAATTGTAAACGTTGTTCTAAGGCACTTTTAAGGTACAATAACGGCAGCTTCATGCATGCGTGTCTTATGCCTATATGTTATACGTATAATTATTTCGTAGACGAAATGACTTGTTACTATTATAGAATGGATATTTTATTTTAAATAAAATGACGAACAATAAAGAAAAGACAACGAACAACCTGGTATTCCGATGGAGTTTTATTTCTGCACGAGGAAATGTACACATGTGATACAACATACTTTGACATGGGTCAATTACTTAGCGGAGGTATGCTGTGTATGCTTTCCGCGTGAACGGTAAGCCGAGTGTATTTATTTCGTTTATCTATCGAACGTTTTATGCACGAAGGTATATATAACTTATGCCACGATTTTTAATTCTTATCCGAGCAATCTCTTTTATCTCTTTAGAAAGATCAATTACGCTCAAGCGTTCAGTTTATTTAACAGAAAAATATTTTTAACACATCTGATCGAGATAATAAATAAACGTGAGCAAAAATATCGAACAATCTTTCACTCACGAAAACGAAGACGAGCTTTCAAATTAAATAGGAAACTTAGATGCTCGCACAAGAATTAAAATCAGTTGTACATGATCTAAAAGTAAAGAAAACTCTGTGCAAACTGAAGGAATTGTTTAAACTACCTATCAGACTTCAAATATAATATATCGAGTTTTGAACATATTTGCGTCAGAGTCTTTGTTATATACGCTTATGTATAAACTATTTCATACGTAACGTTAAAAATATAATTAGAAATTATAGTTTGTCTTAACTTTTCAGTTTATGGTCTAGCGGACCTCGTTCTTGTTTTATATATATATGTATTTCTTTATTATTATTATTATTATTACCTATGTTCAGTTTTACAACACAAATTTAACTTTTTTCTCTAGATTTATTATATGAGAGATATATAAATAAAATGGAAGGAAATATGAATTAATTATATATATATATATATATATATATATATATATATGTAGAATTTTTTGGACAGCAGAGTAAATAACCATGTTAATACGTTGTGCAAAGAATTGAAAGTATGAAGGGCCGAAATAAAAAGCTATAATTTATATTACATAAGGAACTGAAGTCAAGGATTAACTTCAGTCAATCCTCAAAAATTGGCTCCGGACAACCGTACTAGTCTCAGACATTAAAGTATATTATATTATAATATAACATTATTCTTATATGTGTGTCCTGATAATTCTCGTTTCAACTATAGCATCTATACTTCGCATCTACACTTGCAAGATTCAAGCACTGACCGAAGAACCGAAAGCTTAATAATATACAATATATATATATCCACGAAGTCTTCAATAAACACTTCAACAACGATGAAAGCCACCTTCGCCTATATAACGATTACGAGTCGCATGCGTGAATCGCCACGTTTTAAAGTAGAAAAAAAAAAGAATCGTTTCTATTGATGCCTAAAAATGCAATTTGCTATGAATGTATGTACATACTTTGTTCAAGTTGTCACAAGATGAGTCCTACATCTATTAACATTACAATGCTATTTTCACACGAATACGCTACAATTATATATTAATACTTTCACTTTTTTTGCGTTTCTTATCACCCTGCGGCGCTAACATTAACAGTCTTAACGCATAGTTTAAAATGTGTATTCCAACACGTTTGTGGAAACAATAATTTCCATACGTTTCACAAACTAGACACCAATTTCGCATAGGATTAATAGCTCCTTTTGGAGCTATGAGAGATTGATCCTTAAATACTAATTCAGATTATATCGTCAATCTAAATGCAGTTTCAAACGCGTGCTATTTTCTGTTCATTATATATTTTTATTGCTTTGGTCATCTGCTTACTCCAGAAATATATCTTTTTTACCTGCCTCACTATACTTTCAACATTAAATGTATATGCGTTTCATATTTAATACATATTTAAATCAATGAATTAGTTACGAATCAATATTTAATATCGTTTTTGTGTTTCCCCAACAATATTTATCAATTTACGTGGAAATTATTTGACGTTTCAATTAATTATTGACTAAGCGAAGGCATTATTGTGTGTGTGTGTTTAAAAAGTCACGAATTAGAATCTCTGTTGCGATTCACGCGATACGAAACACCCCAGAAACAACGAATAGTATAACGCACCGATATATTTCTATTTGCTACTTAGAACTCTTGAGTTATATCGTAATTACATTCGTAAGTGCTCCTAACGATTTATCAGGATATGTGATTATATCCCAGAATAAGATCGTCGCTACATTGGCTTTCGCCTGATATGCGTATGATATTCTTGGCCGCAAAAGTGCGATCACAATTGGTTTCGCGATATGTATAAGTAAAGTATATATATATCTCTAGTCGCGTACTTCCTGGCTTTAAACTATGCAGTAATAGTAGCGGTATTTGTATGCCTCTTTCTTAGAATCTAATATAGAACATCTAGCGCGCGCGTACATCGTACTTGTATAGGATGCAATTGAAACGGACGTAGGTCGCGCGTCAAAACTATATGTATAATATAAACTCTGCAATTATAAACCCAAAGACTCATCCAATATTCGTGCGGTTAACCCTGGCGAAAAAAATTTCTCATATTTTCTCAGAAATTTTGTAAAAATTGAGACTTATGAAAAATTCTGAAAAAATATATTAAATTTTTCCGATATTTTTAAAAATAATTAGATGTGGATTTTCGGAATATTTCAGCATCTGTATCTATGAAAATTTCTGATAAATTATACAAATATTCTTATATTTGTTCAGATTTTTACAAAAATGTATTGGTGGGAAAAATTTGAAATATATTTTATTACTTTGTTTTGAAAAATGGTCAAATTCGTATTAAAAAATCTGAAAAATTCTGAGCATTCTGAGAAAGTCTGAACATTTTTATAGAAATTCTGATTAATAATATGAAAAATTCTTAGACATTTTTTCACCAGGGCAACGATTCCGAGAAAGCGCTTTCAACGGCGTACGTTTTGACCGTACCCTGCATATGCGAAAACACGTTTGTACCTTTACCTTTAGCAGCGGAGGGCCGAAGCTTGCTTCCTTTTCTTCGATATGACTTTCGACCAATGCTGTAAAAATGCGGGTGTCCGTTGTGGACAACGTTTCGCGTTCTTACAACACCGATGCGTTTCGAAATTCGTCGGAAATTAAAGGAAGTGCCTCGACACTCTCCGCCATCGAACGTACAAAAAAAAAAATAATGCTGTATTAACAGCATATATTAGATCTAATTGGCAATGTTAATTCAATAACAGTGAAACAAATACTTATTTTATTAAAACAAGAGCATGACGTATTGAATTAACAAGATTATTTCCAATTAGATTAATACTATATTAATAGATACAACATTATTTTTTCTATTATTCTCGAATGCGCGCGTTGTCGTAATATACATATACACGTATCTTCTTTTCTATTTCTTTCTCTAACAATAACGAGGCACCGTGCTCTCTCGTACTTTTCGCGATTAACTTCCGTAAAATTCGTGTAACTCTAACATAACAAATTGAATAATGATAACATAGATAAAGCTCAACAAGGAAGAACTAGAACGACGCGGAATTCTTTCAAGGCTAACTTAGAAATACGAGAACTGTCCGTAACTTTTAATTGCAGATCCACCGACCCACTTTCTTTAAGAACCTAACAAATTTAACGTAATAAAGCTAAAACTCGAGTCCGATGACTTCATAAAATATGAATAACACGAATAAATCTATCGCATTTAACGTTAACAATACTTTTGCGAGAACATGAGATACGAAGATGAGGGAGATTCGATACATAATAAAGTCGCAGGTAATTTTTTTACTTTCAGACGCACAAGAAATCGATCGTGACAGGTCAGTATTGATGAAATGATAGATCGCGATAAGATATGATAACAGATCGACAATTTTCGATACAAAGTATCTTTTTTTTGGTGTACAACAATGCATTATTTTTTTCATATGAATCTGACGATGGAAAAGCCCCGTTCAAAGCCTCTCCCATTTTCCTACATTTTTTCTAGCAATTAATTATATCTTAATTAACTAGAGGAACTATCGAGAAACTAACTAAACGTTGATATCTAAAAACTTTAGCTTACAGCCGCGTCTTTATCTTATAGAGATGACGCCTCTCGATCAATCGCTGTTACAATTACACACAAGCACACGATGTTTATTGATAGCAGCAATATCCCAGTACGAGAGGACAAGGCGAGCGCGACAGATCGCCTAAAATTACCTAAATCGCGGAGTCGAAGTTATGCGGATTCGCTTCCGTATCCAACGAATCAAACATATATTATATATTGTTCAGAGAAATGGGATCATGAGATGTATAATGGAACGATACTACGCGTATATATCTGATATGTATTTGATATTTATAGATAGATATGCGATAGATTTTTATAAAGGCATAATCTTTGTGAAGAAATATAGGATATCTCGTTCCTATCATATTATTTTTCATATAGATTTTTCAGCTAATTTATAATTAAATTTTTTAGCGAAAACATTGAGAGGGATCGTCGCTTTATCGCAATCTATAGATAAGCTTTTAACGTTGCAAAACAAACTCAAGCTTCTGTTAAAGTTAAGTTTATTTAAAATTAATCGATCTTGTTATTTATCTTCCTTCGCTGAAACTAAGTTCGCGTCATTT